AAATCCCAGCCGGGAAACTAGAGGCGAGAGTCTGGGCGGCCTTGAGACGTCCCAAAGGGATCAGCACCGTGGCTCCCGTTGTCAAAGTTGCGAGCATGCTTAAAGGGTGGTGTTTCGATTGACTCCTCTTACGGGCGCTATCGCACCACTGACCGCGTGACTTACAATCAAAAGTATTTACCAGCGTAGGCCCCAAACAGTGTGTATTGCAGCATCTGTGTGTTATCGCCGCGATGCAATAGCATCACCGTGCATGTGCGTCGTGAGCGAGCGAGTCCAGGCAGGTACACCAGGATAAATACACGAGCCACCGTTGCGCGCACGCGGCCCCCTACAATGTCACGTGTCACGCGAATGGAGTGTTGGGGCGCAACAGCCTTGGGCTACATGGCCGACCACCTTAATAATAGTATCATCGCCAAGCGGGGTAAAAGTAGGAAAACGTCATCACAACGTCACACGATTGGCACTTTGGCATTTTTAGTTCGTCCTGCGCATTTTCAGGTTTGACTTGAAAATTGTCCGCCAGCGTTGTTCCTCCACTGTTAGTTTGACAGGGGAAGCGCACTCTGGTCGACTTGAACACTTTCATATGCAGATGGTGTTTTTTTCTGACAACGCCACCCGGCTATGTAGTAGGTTCAGAGGAAGTTTCACCGTCATTGCCACGGAGGCGATTGAGCCGATGTTGCTAACATTAACGTAGATACGATGTGTGGGTGGTGCCATGTACTGGCTGCTTCTAGGCGACACTATCTATGTGGCGCACGTCACGTTGTTGATGCCATTGTTGATTTTGTGTGCAGCTTCGGCGGTGCAATTGAGGTCTTGCAATCCTGTGTTTGCCATATGTCTACGTGTGTATATATGTATCTATGCATGTATGTACATATATGTATCATATATATATATACTCATGTATGGATTCATATATGTCGTACGGTATGCAGGCTATGTGGTGCAATCTGCGTGCGCATCTCCATGCCCCAGCCAACGCATGAGGCGTCCCCGAGACACGGCCGAACGCCCGCGGAGCCCAAGCCGGCGCACGAGGCGCCCACTGGCCGCACACCCCGACTCCAGGCTTCCCAGATAGGGTCGGAGTAGATGGGGTCGGAGGATCGCGCCGCATCGCCGATGCATCGCCGATGCGGCTCGATGCGGAGCCCGAGTTTCTCCGCGCCGGCGTCGCCGATGATCGCCCACGTCGACGATGCATCGCCAGTGCATCGCCAATGTATCGCCGATGCATCGCCGATGCATCGCCGATGCATCGGCGATGCGGCGCGATCCTCCGACCCGATCTACTCCGACCCCATCTAGGAGGCCTCTACCGACAACCCAGCCGGCGCGCGAGGCAGGCAAGGGCGGGCGCCGGGCGAGAACCAGGAACTTCTAACAGCGCGAGGGGGCCCTTGCGATGCGGTCACTGGCGAACACCCATAAAAGCCACGTTCGCAAGCGCGGAGGTTGTTCTCTGTAGCATCCCTGCGTGATATTACCCTGCGCGCTGCATCACGTACATTGTCCCGCGCAGGATGCATCGCATAATTGTGTTGTGTGACAGCGAATGATACTCTACCCCTCTGCCGAGGCCGGACTTCGCAGTACCCCCCGGTTTGTCCATGTATTGTGCACGATCGAGCATTTTATGTGTATACAGACCTATATTTTCATATATATATATATATATATATATATATATATCGATCTATCTATCTATCACAGCATGCCAGGCAGGCCTGTACCCCCACCACCACCACCGTCGTCTCTTGAAAGCAAGTTCATCCGGTGCCCACGCGTTCATCGCACAAGTGTATTGCACAACGATCCAAATACAAAAAGCAATAAGGACAAGTGCGCCACCGCGCACGCGTTCCAGTTTTCGCACCCGTTGGAATTACAAGAGAACCATACGCGCGCACTTGTCGAACACTTCAAGCCATCAGCGCGCACCTGCTAACCCCGTCAACGATTGCCATCCAGACCACGCGCGCGTCCGCGCGCACACGTCGAAGTTCGTCCAAAACCAGTGGTGTTCTCAGCGTTTCAAGACAGAGTTCGTCGAACACATGTGAACACTCAATTGCTATTCGACCTGGAATATGTGAAGCATTCAGGTTGCCCGCACGCGCTCTTTCCCATAGGTTTCATCTTCAAGAGTTGGAAGTCGCCAGTCGTCACCGCCATCATCACCAGTTGTAATTTGTACACATACGTATATGTATACGTATCATCAGTATCGCAATCATCGCCATCGCTGTCATCGATGCTCTCGTCGCATTCGTCATCACCGACAGCACCACTGTCACCACGGTCGTCGCCGATATCGTCATCACCATCATCGTCGTTCGCCCGCCAGGGCCGTGGATTTGCATGGGCCGGATCCGTCCGTTATTGTGTCTGCTGGCGTGTGTGAGCAAGTTCAGATGTGTATGTTCACTCACGCCCACTCAGGTTTTACCACCAAGTTGTGGGTGGGTGGGTGAGATGGTTGTTCGACCACGGGAGGTGGTCACGCGCGGATGCAGGCATGTGAATTGCACCACATGGCTTGCAAGACAACGCGCGTGTGGCGCCATATTTGAAGTGTACGATGCACCATCTACGCGTCGCAGCGTTCACCCCGAACAGTGAGGTATCCAGCTGCTTGCGGCAAGTCCCGCCACCGTGCCAGCCCACCCTTCTGGGTGGCGACTGTTCGAGGAGGTTCGGGAGGCCGTTACATGTGACATTTCGTGTATCTTGGCGGGGGAGAGCCGTGGTGATGATGGTGGAGGAGGAGGAGGAGGAGGAAGAAGAGGAAGGCCGTCACATGCGGCACAGTTGGTCTTCACTATCTGACCGGCTCTCAGGGAACTCGTTTAGGCCGTTTTGTGGTTGGGCCTCTTGTGAGGCAGTCTTGAGGGTCCTTTCAGGCCCTCTTGGGCCGTTTTGGGACCCTTCTATGCCATCTTTTGTGTTCTGTACGGCCGTCTTGGGATCCTCTTGGCCGTATAGTGGGTTGCTTGGGGGCCGTCGAGGGGCCGTCTCTGGGCAGCCGAAGGGCCTGCTGAGGCCGTCGCATGTCAGTTGTTTCCCCCCTTCTTTGAAGGCCAAAACAGCAGGTTCTCAGAGCATGGTTTGACATCTTCTGGCAATTCTTGTGTGCACGAAGAAGTCCCATAATACAACCAGACACAGTGTATCTTTGCATTCAAGAGTTACGCGTGGTGTTTTCGCACAGTCGGAAACAGAGGCGTCGTTCGTGACAGCGTCTGCCTGCCCCGTGTAGTTGGTTGTGGCAAGTCTTGAAGAGGATCGCCAACCACACGCCAAAACGCTGGAGACGGATTGGACCAGGGGTGCCCGAAAGAGGGGGCATACTCAGTCCTAGACCAGGAAGGAGACCAAAGGAAGTTGCGCAGTCAACTGCTTTTCGGCGACCCTGGCGCGGCATAGCCGTTGCCAGGCGAGCCTGAGGCGGGTGTACAAAAAATGCCTTGTATGTTGCACTAGGGATATGCTTGGCAAAAGACTATGTCTCACAGGGGGCCCTCATGTCTCATGGGTCGCCTTGGGGCCGTCTTGCATGCCTCTTGGGACCTCTGGGGCCATGTTTGGACCTTCGTGGGGGCCCCTGGGGCCGTCTCACGGTCATCGTGGAGGCTTCCTGGCCGTCTCGAATTGACGGAAGCTAGGAAAGGCGAGAATGCGAGCATCACGCAACATTTGTCGTAAACCATTCATGCTGGTTTCTTCGGGTCCTGTTGGAGATCCTCTTGGGGCCCTTGTGGGTCCCTTGGAGGCATTTTGGGCCGTCTTGAGGCAATATCCGGCCGCCTCGGGGCCCTCCCGGCCCGACGTCGAGGCTTGGTTGCCTTGGGTGCCTGCCTGGTCCGTCTTGGAAGCTCGGGGCGCGGACACGTCTTTGTTGTTACGATGGATTGGGGCTTCGGAAGCGAGGATGCGTAACCATTGTACGAAGCATTGTGGCCTCGGGAGCGGGAGTGGGCATGCCCCTGTCCGCGACTAGAGGGGGGGATCCTTTCCCCTGCAGAGCAGAATCAGGCGTTCTTGCACGCCCACATCGTGCAGGCACGGTGGCGGATTGTGTGTCCGATGTGCAGCATGTCTTGCGCAATGTGTATGGCAATCTCAGTGTTGCAATCCCTGCGGGGCAAGGTATGTGGTGCAAGCTATGGGTTCGAACATGCAAAGTAGAATCTGCGGTGCTGCAAGATGTGTGGCACGTCGATGGCATCATCCAATACATTTGAAGAGAAGACCGAGGGCGACCAAGAACAACACAGAACAGACATTGTGTGCCAAGCGGGTCGCACGGTTACTGCGTTGGGCATCATAATTTTTCTCCTCCTGAGATGTCTTCCCTCCTGTTTCGTCGTTCGTTCCCTCCTCATGTTCATCCGTCCTCCCTGTCTTCCCTCGTCCCTCCCTCCTCCCTCCCCCTATCTTCCCTCTGTACCCTTCTCCTTTTTCCATCCCCTCCTTGGCCCGTCTTGCCCCAGAGGGCGACCAGTTCAAGGCGCTGGAGAGAGGAGAGCTTGTGAGGTAAGAAGAGGGGCGCCTCCTTTGTCATCCTCCGCCTCCTCGTTGTTCCGTGCTCTTTGCCGTCGTCGTCGCCTTCCGTCCACCTCTTTGCGTACTCCGCCCACGAAACACGGAACCCAAGTGCAGGATTTCATGCGAGCTTGATTTTTGGAGCTTATGTGAGGTTGCGGCTTCACACGCGTGCCCAAACGAGCACGGGGACGCGCCTTGCCGAATGTACCAGGGTCGGCACCTTGCTCGTTCCTCCTTTTGCTATCCTTCGTTCTTTCTCCTCGTCTCTCTCCCTTGGTGGCCCTGGGCAAAAACAACGCACGATAACGACCAGCACCCTTCAGCCAGCCGACTGTCTTGCAGCAAGCATGCTGGCGGGCATCGGTTCGGTAGCAGTCGTCGTCGCCCTTGCCGCCGCCGCTGCCATCATCGTGCTGTTCGACGTCGCCGTTGTTGTCGTCGTCGTCGTCGTGGTCATCGTTATCGCCGTCGTCGTGGTCGTTGCCGGACTCCTTCGAAGCTAGGGCCCGCCGTGGCAGGGAGAGGCGGTGCGTGAGCTGTTGCGGTTCGGGGTACTTTGGCCGGCCTTGTCCGAGCGACCGTCGCGTCGTTATGGCTGGGGACCATGGCGAGCCGTTTGTTTGCAAGCACCGTGCTTCCGAGCTTGCATTTGGGTATGTTCTGAATGTCATTTCGAGCGTGTGTTGTTCGAGTCAACGATTGTGCTTGCCATGTGCCGATATGTTGAGTGCAGGACGAAAGCGATTCTGTCCATTGCGCTGGTCTGACGCTTGCAGCTCAATTCGCAATCATCCCGCCCGACATGTTTCGATTCCGTTGGTGAGGTCATTGCCAGTTGGTGTGCTTGATTGTTGTAGCCACGCTATGTTTCTGCGCGTAAATATCAAGTTGAAGTGCGCAATCAGTCCAACACACATGGTGCAATAGCGCCCCAATATTTTGGGCGCTTCAAGACTGCTCCCCCTCCCAGCGCTCACAGCAGCTCTGAGGCGGCGTAACTAGGCCCTTCAGAAGTTGTATGCGTCCTGTGGGGGTAGCTGTCCATTCAACGATTGCCACGCGATTCGGCGAATATCATCACACACACACACACACACACACACACGCACTCAGCCACGAGGATTTGGGAGGGTTGGGCGCCCGAATTTTCCAACATGCAAACCCCCAAAGGCGCGCATTGGCAGCTGCCCCTGACCGCCCCCAGCTCCGAGGAGTTGGGAGGGCAAGGCGCCCGCATGATCCCCGGGCGTGGGCCCCCGATTGGCGCGAAGCCGAAGCTACCCCAAACCGCCGAACCCAGGGGTGGCCATCAGACCCCCGACGACAACGTCGTCCCCCAGAGGTCTCGACCTTTCTCTCAGGACGCCCGAAATGGGTACGGAAAGAATGGGTACTATGCCCAACAGCAGTTCCTGTTCATTTTGAACCAGATCCGCTGTCCACGGCGCCGCGGCCTGTGTCCATTCGAGACAGGAGGCCGCCTGCCCAACAGCGGCCGCTGTTGGTTTGGGACAGCATTTGCTCTTGGGCATCGTACCCACTGTTTCGGTACCCATTTCGGGCGTCCGAATTCTCCAGAGGCGCGAATCCGAAGCTGCCCGACCGCCGAATCCAGGGGTGGCCATCGGACCCCCAGAGGCCTCGGCCCTTCCCTTTTGGGACCCGGCCGCGCCTCCCGAGCCGCTCGTGGAGGGTCCCTTGGGCCGGGCGAGGGCCCCCCCCGTAGAGCCGCAGGCGACAGCAGGCACTCGGTCGTGAAACGGTCCGGAGGGGATCCACACACATCAGAGCCCGAATCATCAGGGGTATTTCGGGTCAGGGCTAACTCGGGTTCCTTCTTCGGGAATCCAGACCCGAGTTACCCCGGACCCGAGTTACCCCGGATAACTCGGGCGTCCAGAGCCCCGAATCATCAGGGGTAACTCGGGTCAGGGCTAACTCGGGTTCCTTTTTCGGGAATCCAGACCCGAGTTACCCCGGACCCGAGTTACCCCGGATAACTCGGGCGTCCAGAGCCCCGAATCATCAGGGGTAACTCGGGTCAGGGCTAACTCGGGTTCCTTTTTCGGGAATCCAGGCCCGAGTTACCCCGGACCCGAGTTACCCTGGATCACTCGGGCGTCCAGAGCCCCGAATCATCAGGGGTAACTCGGGTCAGGGCTAACTCGGGTTCCCTTTTCGGGAATCCAAGCCCGAGTTACCCCGGACCCGAGTTACCCCGGATAACTCGGGCGCCCAAACACAGGCACAATGAATCGTCGATTCTCCAGAAGATGTGGGGAAATATGGGAAGTGGGGGGGGAAGACCAGAGCCCAGAAATCATGGGAAGATATAGGGGGATCTTGTTATTTGTATGTATTTATTTGTGTGTCCCAGGGCCTCTTCAAATTGCCACGACGTGAGGGGGCCTGGGATTGTCGCATTGAGTCGGGCATGTCCCTCTGCACGAGGAATATCCAAACATAGTCAAAAAATAGTCGGGGGACGATGTTTGGAGTATTTTCGGTCATTGTTTGATTATGTTTTGGCTATGTGTTTATTCTCCGTTGTGAATCCGCCTGTCGGATTACACGCCCGACCTAATTGTCCTAGCCTTGGGTGGCACAAGCAGATCGTAAGACGCATGTTCGGCGCCCTGCCGCGACGTACTCTGACTGTCGTGCTGGAGCGCACGCGTGTGCGCGCGTGTGGTGCGCGCATTCTTTGCAGCTCGTACCTTCTCGCCGTCCTTGCGTCCCTGCGACAGTGCCACCTCCGAGGGCGAGGAGGCAATGGGTGCCTTGGAGCAAAGACAGGAGGAGGAGGAGGAGGAGGAGGAGGAGGAGGGAGGAGGAGCCCACCCATGCAAGGGCCCTGCCGCCCCCGCGAGCCAGCGTCAAGAGGAGAAGGCCTGCAGCCCAAAACGTCCGAGTGCTGATCGCACCGCCGCTGTAGAGGTTTGGGTTGGTTGCGGCCTCTATGGGTCCTTGCCGGGCCCCGGAGCCGTGACCAACAGCTCGGGGCGAAAGGCCACTGCTGGGAAGCGGTCGAGACCTTTGGGGGTCAACGTAACCTAAAGATCGCGATGTCGGAGGTCTGGGTCCTCTCAGATGCCTCTTGGGCGCTGCTGGCAGCGAGGACCTTAGAAGGAGAAGCACCCCCTAAGAGGGAGCAGTACTCTTCGTGCACGATCTGGCTCCTTACCACTCGACGCTCCTCGCACATTGAGGTGCAGCTGTGAGCGAATAGGGACGCCGGCCTCTACTCCAGCGTTTTCACAGTTGCACGCATTTCGTAAATGGTTTCAGCAAGAATTTCGGTTACACCACACAAAGTCGATTCGGTGAATCTGTAATCGTGATTTCTTGTAGAAGGTAAGTGATACCTTCTACCAGAAATCGCGATTCCATATCCACCGAGTCGAGAGGAAGAATGACGAAGGACACGCGTGGAGAGCTTGATTAAACATAGGGAGCAGTAAATCCGTTTCCGAGGGGGACGCAAGAGCTGGACTGGACCGTTCGCGTTGGCTTTTCAGCTCATATTCGGTATCTTCAATCGTTTTCAGATGCGTGCTACCCCTATTTCGGTCCGTCAGCCTGTTCAATATTGTTTAATGCCAGTAGGGCAACACATGTGATTATGTGTCAGTAAGAGCCTCGTAGCATGATGATGAGGGGCATGCCAGTCATCCTTACGAGATTTGCTGGTCCAGGGCCTAATCTCGTCAGAAAGCACTTAACATGCCATTGCCGTCACCCACGGTAGCCCTATTGATGTTTATTTTCCTGACCCCCGTTAGCAGCGTCGGAATGTTTAGAGGTCGTCAGTGCACTGTGCTTCATGTATTGAAGGTCTTGTGTTGACAAAGGCTCCCGAGCATCCACACACGTAGCCTGGATCGTCGATTGTGTTGGCGCGTGGTGCACTGTGCCATCTTCGCGCGTTGTGAGCTCAGCAAGCCTCCGTCGCCCAGGGGATGGCGCGGCTGCCCCGGGCCGCATCGACCAGAAGCTCATCGCTTCCATGGTCAGACAAGTTGGGCCTCTCTGCCGCCGCAATCCAACCTTCGCTGCAGTTGTTTCGCCGACGGGAGAGATGTATGCTGCGCGCGTACTCTCATGAACACTTGACTGCACACTGGCGCTGGCGGGAATTTCGGCAAGCTTCCGCCAACGTTAAGATGCCGCGGTCGGCGTTTCGGGGGCATGCGCCGAGTTCGGCCGCGGTTCTGCGCCCCGGGAAGGGGCGCCGTAGCCTTGCCTGCAAGACAGTGCCGACGTCGAGCATCCATGCCCGAGGGGCTGTACACACATGCATGCACATGGATGTACGCGTTTGCAAGTAGAGCAGCGGAAGAGGTTCGCTCTAGCCCCGCAGATCAAAAAAGTTTGCAAGTAGAGAGAAAGGAGGAGAAGGAGGAGCGAGGAGGAGGAGGAGAAGAAGGAGGAGGAGGAGGAGAAGGACGGGAACTGAGATAGGCGGGGGCACTGTTTCGACATCGGGGCTTGGTTCTGCTGTTCTCTGGCCCTCCGGGAGCAGCCCTCCTCGCCAGTTCCATCGTGCCGTGGCAGGAAGTTGCGGGTGCTCTGGTGGCCGCTTCGGCGTGTGGAGGCAGTTTTCGGCCCCGCGATGGGGTCGAGAAAGCCGGCGATGGGGTTTAGCGTTCCAGGTGCCCACTTTGTGAACAAAAACTCGGCTTCGGAGGTCAAGGTCATTCCGCCACGCGTAGCGGCGGGGGAGTGCAAGCTGGTTGCGCTCGCGCCTCTTCTGACATCCTATTTCTCCCTCCCGTCCCTTCCCATGGCACTCACTGATTTTCTCTATCCATGGACGCGTGTCGTAGCCGAATTGCGACTTCCAAGGAAAAATTGCTCCGTGCTTTGCGCACTCGGGAGCAGGGGAGCTGCGTGCACAGTATGAGGAGGAGGAGGAGGAGGAGGAGGAGGAGGAGGAGGAGGAGGAGGAGGAGGCGGGAAGGCTTCTTCATGTGCTGGTGCGGTGGACGGTGCTGTGTATACTTGTTCCCCCGTTGCCCCGGGGAAACCACGAAAACAACAGGATCCCGTACACACCAGGATCCGTTGTCCTGTGCGAATGTCAGTGTGGGGCCAGGAACAGCGTCGGTGTAGAGTTCGGTTCCTCCTTACATCGAGGAGCATCCTGGATCATCTCGCAAAGAAAGCACGCACGAAACCGAAGAGTGCACGGGGAATGGACGTCCGAGCGATGGCGAGCGCCCGGTGTGCTCCCTGCCGTCGTCGGGGGCCCACGCGCTGTGACCCGTCAGTCGGTGGAAGTAGGTTTACAGTCGGGGCCCTGGAGAAGGAACCCTTTTCGTTGGGGAGGGGCTCCGCGTTCCGTAAGTGTTTCACAGCTTGCCTTAGGTTTTCCTTAGGTTTTCGATCCGAAGTCGAAGTTCAACTTCTTGAAAAAAAAGGGGCCTCGTTGCTTATTTGGGGTTCCTCAGGTCAACGCCCCGACGGTATTTCTGGTTCCCCAGGTCCCGATCTACTCTAGGCGCCCTCCTGCTTCGATGGTCTAGCGGTTTTTCCCCTCTTCCTTCCTCTTCAGGGGGCGGGCGGAAACCCCATGTGTTTTGACCGCCTTCCTACGTCGTGCTCCTACCCACTTCTTCCCACCGGCTGGTATCATAGGCGGCACCCATGAGAGGCCCCTTCGCTCCGCCCGCGTGTGGGCGCGGCACTCTGGTTTTTCCTAGTCCTCCCTCTGGGCCGGGCCTCGTTCTGAACATCTCCATCTTCCTCCTCCTCCTCCTACTCCTCCTCCACCACCTGACTTCCGTCGTTTCCCTACTCCCTCCCACGCCGCCTGGGCGTTGCCAGCTGCGCAACTGTGAGCACTTCTTTGGGCGCCTGGGAGGGCCAGCGAGTCGACGTCCCACACGCATTCAGAGACGAGACCTCGTGGCTCTCTCGGGGCCAGTTTTCGCCATTTCCAATGGGTTCTTGTAGTTGGATTTGGATTTTCTTCTCCCGAAGAACAGCAACAGATCCCACACGTTTGATTTCTCTTGCCACTCTTGCGCCTCAACGTGCGCGACGTGCAGCCGTTGATCGAGCACACGATGCGGAAGCCAAGCGCGAATGCTCGCTCGCTGCGTCAACTTATGGTCTTGCCGGGGTTGTCGTGGTGTTCGGCTTGCCCCTGGACTTTGGATCAAGGAACGCTGGCCGTCCCCACTGCTGCCTGCACTCCTCCCCCATCTGCTCCCTTCCCTTATGGTCATCTGTCCGTGTCCGGGATGACGGCGTGTGCAATCAGCATCCGTGGGGTTGCCGTTGCTGCCCTGCTTCTCGCAGGGTCCACGTGAGATGCGGAGTGGGGAGGAGGAGGGGCAGGGCCGTGCTCACATGGTAACGCCAGTTTTCGGGTCACGGCCGCAGGAAGAGCATGCGATATTCGACCCTGGCCTGCATGAGCCCGCCTATGATTGAGTCGCCCACCTCGTTGGCAGCTTGCCGCCTCGGTATCGCCATCGTGGCAGATCCCAACGTTGACTCCTTGGACCAGAAGTTTCCTATCCAGCACCACTCCGGGTTAGTGTGGTTTACTGTCATCACCTCTCCCATCTCGTTGCGGAGAGGTGTATGTGCCATTTGCCTTCGCTCACGCCTGGTCATAGCTCTGTTGCTGGGGCGGTCTCAATTGTGTCGATTGTCCTCAGATGGTGAGGCAGCGTGTCCACCGCGACGGCAGACAAATTGGATTCTGAAGCGGGGTAGAGCAATCAGTGTACACCTGAAGAGTGTCTCATGACCCTCTTGCTTCATCCTTGACCGCGGCCAGGTCAACACTTGGGTGGCCGAGTCGGGCGAGTTTATGCAGGCGTTCGCACGACACGCTGAGGTAAAACTCCTGGAGCTTGGCAGCAAGGTTGACAGGCGCTTGCCGCATTCCATTGTTCAATGTCGCAAGTCCATACAATGGCTCTGTTCGAATGGTTACATGCGATATTTCCTCTTCGGGATTCCTGGATGGACACATGCCCGTTGTGGGACTGGCGAGATACGGATTGCAATTGAGTGTGAATGCGCGGGCTTGGTTTGCATCAAAAATTCGTTTGTGAGGTCAAACTCTTGGAACGTACGTGTGACTTTGAGATCGCGATGTGTGTCAACAGCAATTCCCTTGGTCCAGTGGTTACATTAGCCCCTGCGGGTGCCAGTCTATACCCGTGAACATCGCCAGCAGAGGGCGTGTTCAGTTTAACAGGTTTTGGCGCGTCTTTTGGTTGCTCCTTGGACAATCTTATGGCGTTCTTGAACGGTCCGGCGCTTTCGGGGTCCGTCACGGGGGCTTCTCTGGACCGTCTGAGGGCCCTCTCTCTGTGGCTCTGAATGGTCTCATCGGGAGTCTCTCAGGCCGTTTTTTGGGGCCTCCTTGGGCCGCCTTGCATGCCTCATGAGCAATTTTGAGGGCACTTGGGGCCGTCTCAAGGCCCGTCGTGAGGCCATCTTGGAGGACTCGTGGGCCGTATTGGGCTGACTGACGCCTGAGCAATTGAGAATGCGACCATTATCACATATGTATCTCTCTATATTATATATATATATATATAGATTTACATACTTACATGCCCCATATATGCATATACACACATATCTAGACACAGATACACACCTACATCCAGCATGACAGATCCATCCCACATCAATGATGATCCAAGGTACATCGTGTATGTCTTTCTCTGCGGACCATACTGGGCTTGGGTTGTCCTGAGGCCACCTTGGGACGTCCTGAGGCCGTCCTGGGGGCATCCTGGGCCATCTTGCTGGCCCTGTTGGCCGCCGTGCGGGGGCCCAGCAGCGCCGATACGAGAAATCCGCACGAATGTCCGAAAGTGGATGCTTGCATCTTTTCTCTTCAGGGTTGCTGTCGGAGTCGTCGTCCCCGCTCGCTCCGCCCTGGTTCGGCATCGGGGGGCCGTCTTCTGGCCCTCCGGCGCGAAAGATTGCCATTGGGGACAATGGGTCGGGACCCTTTTCTCTCGCTCTCGCTTTCGCTCTGCTTCTCGAGCAGTGGCGAAGCGTCCTGGCTTGCGCGGATTGGAAACACTCGCACACATCCCCAGACGCCTGGGACCGCGGTCGGCCTTCGTCTCCGCTCCGCTGCGGCCCACTCGCGGTGCGGTGCTGCGACGGCGGTGCGCGCGTTGGCGGGGGCGGCACAACTCCCCCCAGCGTCCCCCGCAGCGTTGCGCACCAAAGGCCTCCCTGCTCGAGGGTCGAGGCTCCATGGGGCCGTCTCTCGTTCTGCTTGCTTCTGTTGCCCTTCGCTTACTGCGAAAACCTTACGGCCAGTGCCGCCTGAAAGGGGACACGACGACGACGACGACGCTGACGACGACGACGACGTCGACGACGACGACGACGACGGCGGCGACGACGACGGCGACGACGACGGCGGCGACGACCACGGCGACTACAACGACGACGACAACGCCGGCGACGGAGATGATGACGGCGACGACGACGACGATGACGACTACTGCGACGACGGCGACGACGACGACGATTACGGCGACGACGACAACGACGACGATGACGACGACGACGACAACGCCAACGACGACGATGACGGCGACGACGACGACTACGGGGACGACGACGATGACGACGATGACGACGCTGCCGACGGCGACGACGACGATGACGACGCTGACGAGGACGACAACGACGCCGACGCCGACGACGACGACGACGACGGTGACGACGACGACGACGACTTTTACGACGACGGCGTTGACGACGACGACGACGACGATGGCGCGACGACGACGACGACGACGACGACGACGACGACGACAACGACGACTACGACGACGACGACGACGACGACGACGACGACGACGACGACGACGACTACGGCGACGACGACGCTGGCGACGACGACGACGACGCTGGCGACGATGACAGCGACGATGACGACGACGACGATGGACTACTGCGACGACGACGACGTTGACGACGACCACGACCACGACGACGACGATGACGGTCACGACGACTACGGCGTTGACGACGACGACGACGCTGACGAGGACGACAACGACGCCGACGCCTACGGCGACGACGACGACGATGACGACGACGACGACGCTGACGACGACGACAACGACGACGACGACGACGGCGACGACGGCGACGACGGCGACGGCGACGTCGACTACGGCGACGACGGCAGCGACGTCGACGGCGACGAAGACTACGGCGACGGAGATGACGACGACGAGGACGACGACGACGACGACGACGACGACGACGACGACGGCGACGACGACGACTACGGCGCTGGCGACGACGACGACTACGGCGTTGACGACGACGACGACGACGACGACGACGACGATGGCGCGACGACGACGACGACGAAGACGACGACGGCGACGGCGACGATGACCACGACGGCGACGGCGGCGACGACGGCAGCGACGACGACGGCGACGACGACGACGACTACTGAGCTGACGACGGCGATGACGACGACGACGGCGAGGACGGCTGCGACGACGACGACGGCGACGACGTCGGCGACGACGACGACGGTGGCGACGACGACGGCGGCGACGACGACGGCGACGGAGACTATGACGACGACGAAGAAGACGACGACGACGACGACGGCGACGACGACGACTACGGAGCTGACAGAAGCGACGACGACGACGACGGCGAAGACGGCTGCGACGATGACGGCGGCGACGACGACAGCGACGGAGATGATGACGACGACGATGACGACGGCGACGATGACGACGGTGGCGACGACAACGGTTGCGACGACGGCGACGGAGATGATGGCGACGACGACGACGCCGACGCCGACGCCTACAACGACGATGACGACGACGACGACGACGACTACGCCGACGATGACGCCGATGCCGAAGACGACGACGACGATACCGACAGCGACGACGATGCCGAAGCGGCGACGGCGACGACGACGACGTCGGCGACGCCGACGACTACGGCGACGACGACGACTACGGCGACGACGACGACAACGACAACGACGGCGACGGAGAAATCGACAACGACGGCGACAACGACGACGACAGCGACGGGGGTGAGAACAACGACGACAACGAAGACGACGACGACGAAGACGACGGCGGCGACGACGACGGCAACGACGACTAAGACGACGACGACGTCAGCGAATACATCGACGACGATGACGACGGCGACGCTGACGACGACGACGACGCCGACGACGACGACGACGACGACGATGACTACGGCGACGACGACGACGACGTCGACGACGACGGCGACGACGGCGGCGACGACGCCAGCGACGTCAGCGACAACGACGGCGGCGACGACGACGCCGACGGAGGTGATAACTGCGACGACGATTTCGGCGACGACGACTGCGGCGACGATGGCGACGACGATCACGCTGACGACGACGTCGCCGCCAACGACGACGACGACGGCGGCGCCAACGACGACGTCGACGGCGGCGACGACGACGACGACGACGACGGCGGTGACGACGACGGCGGCGACGACGATGGCGACGGAGATGATGACGACGACGACGACGATGACGACGACGTCGACCACGACGGGGACGACGACGACGACGACTACGGCGCTGGCGACGACGACGACTGCGTCGCTGGCGACGACGACGACGCCGACGACGACGCCGACGACGACGATGACGCCGACGACGACGCCGACGACGACGACGACGACGGCGGCGGCGACGATGACAACGACGACGACGGCGACGACGACGAGTACGGCGACGACGACGGCAGCGACAACGACGACGACGACGGCGACGACGACGGCTACAACGACGACGACGGCGACGGGGGTAAAGACGAAGACGACAACGACGACGACGACGACTTCGGCGACGACTGCGACGACGACAACGGCGGCGACGACGACGGCGGCGACTACGGCGACGACGACGACAATGACGACCACGTCGCGACGACGTTGACGGCGGTGACAGCGACGGAGACGGCGACGGTTGCGACGACGACGGCGACGGAGATGTTGCCGGCCACGGCGACAAAGACGACGACGACGTCGACGGCGAATACCGCGACGACGACGACGACGACGATGACGACGATGACGACGACGCCGACGACCACAACGACGACGACGATGACTATGGCAACGACGACGACGACAACTCCGGCGACGACGTCGACGACGACGACGACGGTGACGATTGCGGCGACGACGTCAGCGAAGTCAGTCACGACGACGGCGGCGACGACGACGCCGACGGAGGTGATAACTTCGACGACGACGGCGGCGATGACGACGGCGACGACGATGGCGACTTCGATAACGTTGATGACGACGATCACGCTGACGACGACGACGGCGGCGACGACGACGACGACGACGACGACGGCGACGACGGCCACGACGACGACGACGACGACAACGACGACTATGACTACAGCGACGACGACGACGACGACGACGACGTCGACGACGAAGGCGACGACGGCGGCGACGACGACGGCGACGGAGATGATGATGACGACGACGACGACGTCTACGGCGCTGGCGACGACGACGACGCCGACGACGACGACGACGACGACGACGACGACGACGACGACGACGACGACTTCGACGACGACGACGACGACTACGCCGATGACGACGCCGACGACGACGACGACGACGACGACGACGACGACGACGGCGGCGGCGGCGACGACGACGACAACGACGGCGACGACAACTATGGCGACGACGACGACGACGGCGGTGACGACGACGACGAAGACGACAGCGACGACGGCGGCGACAACGACGACGACGGCGACGGAGTTGATGACGACGACTACGGCGACGACGACGACATCGGCGACGACGACGACGACGATGGCGGCGACGACGGCGACGACTACGGCGACGACGACGACAGCGACGACCACGTCGCGACGACGTTGACGGCGGCGGCGACTACGGCGACGACGACGACAGCGACGACGACGGCGACGGAGATGTTGAAGGCAACGACCACAAAGACGACGACGACGACGGCGAATACGGCGACGACGACAACGACGACGACTGAGACGACGACGGTTGCGACGACGACGACGGCGATCGAGATGATGACGGCAACGACGACAAAGACGACGACGACGACGACGTCGTCGAATACACAGACGACGACGACGACGCTGATGACGACGCTGACGACGACGATGGCGACGACGATGACGACGACGCCGACGACGACGACGACGACGATGATGACTACGGCGACGACGACGACGACAGTAACGACGACGACGACGACGGCGACGACGACGGGGACGACGACGGTTGCGTCGACGGCGGCGATGGAGATGATGACGGCATCGACGACAAAGACGACGACGAGTTCGACGAATACACAGACGACGACGACGACGACGACGCTGACGACGACGCTGACGACGACGATGGCGACGACGATGACGACGACGCCGACGACGACGACGACGATGATGACTACGGCGACGACGACGACGACGACGACGACGACAGTAACGACGACGACGACGACGTCGACGACGATGGCGACGACGGCGGTGACGACGTCAGCGACGACGACGGCGGCGACGACGACGCCGACGGAGGTGATAACTGCGACGACGTTTACGGCGACGACGATGGCAACGACGATCACGCTGACGACGACGACGACAACGACGACGACGACGCCGACGACGACGACGACGACGACGGCGATGTCGACGACGACGACGACGACGACGACGAGGACGACGACGACTGAGGCAACGACGGCGGCGACGACGACGGTGGCAACGACGACGGCGGCGACGGCGACGGCGACGGAGTTGATGACGACGACGCTGGCTCTCTGGAGCCGACGTTCTATCTATACTTTTGCCCGTCGCTTCTCCGGAGTTCGGTGCCCTGGGAGGCTGGAGCGCCTCGTCCACCTCTTCGAGCACAAGCTGCGGGACTTCGAGCCCGCGCCCGCGGGCCCCGCGGCGCCCTCGCCGCGGGAGGAGGCCCGCCACCTGCCGGGGCTAATCTAGGGTACCCATGGGTACAACATGTGCTGAAACACATGAAGTTGATGGGTACATATGGTGGCGGAGTATCTATCCTAAGACCCATACTGTATCTGAGTCATCCGAAGCAATCGACGCAGATCGTTGAGCGAGCGGGCCGCTCAGCAGAGGAGAGCCCGTGGGCCCTCCCTCGCGTGTGTGGGTCCTTGCTTGGGTCGCCTTCGGCACTCTGCCCAGAAGCCTGTCCTTAGGCGCGCGCGTTCACGTTCGAGTGGGCGCCAAGGGGGGGTAGGGCCCAAGTGTAAGTCGGGCATGTACCTCGACAGGAGGCGCAGCCCAAACAAATAATTTGAAACAAATCGTCTGGGGACGCTTTGTTTACCATTTTTGAGTTTTTCGTTGTTGGGGTATGTTTTTGGCTATGTTTCATGCTTCGTCCACAACCCGTCTGCAGGGGGACATGCTCGCACGCTCATGTTCGGGTGGGTGCTAAGGGGGGGGGACCGACGTGGAGATGAAGCAAAAAGCTCTGTTGGGGCCCCTGTTGGAGCCAGCGGGGGCCCAACAGGGGCCCGAAATCGAGGAAACATGTCGATGGACAGAAACTTTGGCGATCCGCGCTGGGCCCCCACGGCGACGCCTCCGGCGCCGCCCCCGGCGCGCTCCGCGCGCCAGGGAGGGGGGTCCAGCTCGGATCCAAGAAGCCCGTGCGGAGCGCCAAAGGTTTCTGTTTGCGGTGTTCTGTTCTTTCTTCTTCTACTATCGGAGGGCCCCTGTAGGACCCTTTTCGTCCCCCCCCCCATGTAGGCCGCCCCCCTTACCACTGAGCCGGGCACGTCCCTCTACAGGAGGAATGTGCAAAAACAGTCAGGAAATAGGCTGCGGACGATGTTTATGATTTTTGTTTGCTGTTTGATTCTTTATTTCTTGCCCAAAATCCGCCTGCAGGGGGTCACGCCCGACCCAACCTTACCTCGGGGACGGCAAAGAGGGGGGTGATGACTATGGGGGGGGGATATCATGGCGGGGGCCATGATATTTCCCCAGACTTCATGGCGCCCCTTCTCATTTCATTACGTCCCTGGCCCCCCCGCGGGGCCGCGCACATGCCGCCGGTCATGATTTGCACCCCCCCCCTCTTGGACACCCCCCTCTTTGCCGCCCCCCTCTTGGACACCCCCCTCTTGGCCGCTCCCGCTTCGAGCACGTTCACGTGCTTCGTGGCCTTGGCGTACCTCCGCCGCCCGCGGCGCCCTCCCCCCCTCCGGCCGCGGCCGCCTTCCCGGCTTCAGGTCGCCACGGATGCATCGTGCCGTCGCTCGAACGCTGCTTGAAGTAAGTCGGTCCTGTTTCCCTACAGGGGGATTTTCGACGAAAGATAAAAAATACCCCCAAAGTAGTCCAAGAATAGTCTGGGGACTATGTTTTGGGTATTGTCTGGCCATTTCGGAGAATGTTTTGAGTATGTCTTATTTTTCGTCTAAAATGCCCCTGTAGGGGGACACGCCCGACGGAATGCTTGGATCCAAGTGGCCGCTGACCAGAGAGTTGCCCCCCCCCCCCCCTTGCGATCACACAATCAGCCTTGGCCTCGATGCCTTCAACGTTTTTATGATTCCGTCCTCGCCTCTTCCTCCTCCTCCTCCTCCTCCTCCGCCTCCGCCTCCTCCTCCCCTCCTCCTCCTCCTCCTCCTCCTCCTCCTCCTCCTCCTCCTCCTCCTCCTCCTCCTCCTCCTCCTCCTCCTCCTCCTCCTCCTCCTCACCCTCCTCCTCCTCCTCCTCCTCCTCCTCCTCTCCTCCTCCTCCTCCTCCTCCTCCTCCTCCTCCTCCTCTTCCTCCCCCTCAGCTGCTCCCGGCTCTCCGTCGCTCCTCCTCGTCGTCCTCTCGGCCTCCTTCCGCGGGGCAGGGCAGCCTCGGGCGGGGGGCGACCAGACAGTTTTACACCCGACCCGTACCCATCGGTCGTTGAAAGTAGGTATTTTTGGATTCCCAGATTCCAATCTACTTTCAGTGCCTTCCTACTTCAAGAGTCGAGTGGTTTTCCCTCTTCCTTCCTCTTCAGGAGGCGTGCCGAAACCCAATCTATTTCCAACGCCTTCCTACTTCATGTTTCTACCTACTTCTTCCGACCGATGGGTATCATAAGGAGGCGCGGTAAGGGTGCAAGCGCCTCGGAGGCCCATGTGAGCGTCTTTCGAACGAGGTCCGCCAGCGAAAGTTGCTGAGGCTGGCCCGAAGGGGCAAGGACGCAAGGCTACCCTCTGGAGGTGTTCCCGTCCTCCTTCTGCGGGTCTCGACTTCCGTCCTTGTGGAGCCTCCTGGAGTCTTGCCGTCGCCTCGCCTGGATCCGCCTCGAACCACGGGTCAGGATGGACCCCGGGAGGGGTCTGGGGACCGGCTTTGAGCGAATGATCTGAACCAGGCGGGAGAACCCCCGCTGTCTCGGCCATAACCTTCCGAACTTTCGAGCCGATCGGCCCAATCCGATGCCGAGTCTGGCCGGCCCCGCCCGGATCGATTCTGAGGCCCAGCCGCCATGCTGGAAACCCAGACGTGATCGCGTCGTGAAGTGATCTCGCCGAGGGTTTGGGCAGCTTTCGACCTCTGGGGGGCGTGTCCGAGACCGTCAGAGAACGGTTCGGGATCACACATCGGCCGTAGGGACAGGGTCGCGGTTTCCAGGGACCCCATATTGAAACAATCCTGACATCGCCTGGTTCGAAGAAGAAACAACGACATAAACAGAAACTTTCGGCGCTCCGCGCGGATTTCTTGGATCTGCGCTGGGCCCCCAGCGGTGCCTCCAGCGCCGCTCCTGGCGCGCTCCGCGGGCCAGAAAGAGGGAGGGGTCCAGCTCGGATCCGAGAAATCCGCGCGGAGCGCCCACAAGTTCATGTGTATGCCGTTTTCCTCTTCTTCCAACGCTTGGGATACTCAGACGATCCGATGCGGCCCGATGCTTGCAGGGCGCAGCTGTGCAACCTGGCGCGGCTTGTCGGATTCAATCCTGGCCTTGCCCCGATCGGGCGCACGTCATGGCCCGATCCTGCCCCCAGCTGCGGTGGACTGCTCTTCGCCCGAGCGTCGGCGTCGTTTCGCAGCGAGTCAGAGCAGAGGCGCGCGCGCACAGGAAGCCACCTGGGCCCCGGGAGGAGGCGTGGACTGCGCGAGCAGTTCTGATTCCGGGGCGCCTTCGCCAAGTGGGGGTTACGTTCATGTGTGTGTGTGTCGGAGACGAAAAAGAGGGGGGTGATGACTAGGAGGGGGTGGATATCATGGCGGGGGCCATGATATTTCCCAGACTTCATGGCGCCTCTTCTCATTTCATTACGTCCATGGCCCTCCCGCTGGGCCGCGCACATGCCGCGGGTCATGATTTGCACCCTCCCTCTTGGACACCCCCCTCTTGGCCGCCCCTGAGTGTGGCTGGGCGCATCTGTGTCTGCTTTGGGTTTTCGCAGTGTCGGAGATGTTCTGGCGTTCCTGGAGGTTCTCCTCGACACGGCTGGACGCTGCTCGAAGAATAATCCAGGTGGACCCCTGGAGGAACCTGGGGGACTGTTTTTTGAAATCTTGGTTCGCAGCAAAAGTAAGAACCGCCAGTGCAAGCTTGTACCCGCCCCGACCTGCTCAGTGACTCCACAACGCGCCCGGCGCCCTTTTACGGAGCCGCGAGGCAGGGAGACGGGCGGATGCGTGCAAGCAGTGCTCTACTCAGGCCGATCTGGTTCCTTCGATCCGCTGCTCCAGAGGTCCCGACCGCTTCTCAGATTGTAGGTGTTCGTCTTGGATAGATAGTTGATGGCCCGGGGGCTCGAAAACGGCACCCGAGGGAAGAGCTCGAGGCAAAACACGGGGGCTGAAAAAAAACAGATCGTCGGACGTCTTCGGGGCTCAAGAGACGGGGGTCAATGCAAACGGGGGTCAGCCAGGGCACCAGATCCTGCAGGATCCTGCGAAGACCCCCTCTGGCTGACCCGGGTTAGCGAGCCGCTCGTGGCCGCGAGGCGGCCGCGCATATTGGCTGACCCCGGGTTTGCAAAGGCCTGCGTTGCAGTCTGTTTTCTCCTGCATTGCAGTTTTTTGGTTTCCTGCTGACCCGGGTCTGGATAGACCCGGGCCAGAAGCTCCCCGACATCTGATTTTGCATCGCTCGGACGTGCGCATTCTTATTTCGGCGAGGACCATCGACGAGCATCCTTGATCATTTGGTGAAAAAGCCACGCACAAAACCGACAAAAAAAAAACACAGGGAATGGACGTCCGAGCGATGGCCAGCTGAGCGGCGCAGGAAACTGGGGTCGCCTACACGGGCCCTGGCGCGTGCGCTGCCCGCGCCAAGGTCTCGCGCACAGGCGCCCTCCTTTCCCCGGGCGTGCCGCGCCGGCGGCCCGCGCCAGCCGCGGCGTGAGGCCGCTACACCTTAGTGGGCCCTGGAAACGGCAAGGCCGCTTTGTTACCGGCTCCGTTTTGCCGTTTTTTGCTGCCGGTTCCGACGCCGTTTTCTTATACCGGTTCCGTCGCCGTGTGTTTTTCGGCTCCGGCTCCTGTTCTAATCCTGGAGCCGTTTTGTTGCCGTTCCCGGTCGCCTTTTTTTTGTTGCTGCTTCCATTTTCAAGGTGCATTTTTTCGGAAACGGTAAAACAACGGCCCTGCCGTGTCCGGGGCCCACAAAGCGCTACACTGGAGACCCATGCCAAAAAAAACACCCTGCTTGCCCGGAGGCTGCCCTGGGTCTCTCGGGTGCCGCTGGTCTCCTATGGAGAGCGCGAGGCTCCCACGCGAGAAGTCACTGGGCGTCCTGGGGTCTCAGGGTTGGGCTTCTGGCGGGGGGTCTCTTGTGGGCTGGCCTCCGCGGCAGGGCTCTCCACGCTGCGCAGCAAGACTTGGAGCGGCCCTCGCCCCGCCCCCCCCCCAGTCCGACGGGGGCATCTACACACCACCACCGGGCCAGGCCAGGGCCATCCTGGGCCCCAGGAGGGTGTATAGACCCTCTTGGCCTCGGCCAGGAGGGCGTATATACCATCCTGGGGCCCAGGATGGCCCTGCCTTGGCACGGTGGTGGTGTATGGATGCCTTCTGCGAACCCAGGCGCGGCTGCAAACCCCGCCCCTCTGCAAACCACTCAGATTCACCTCCTGGGAGTTCGACTTTTGGATCGGCGCCGGCATTCCCTGGCCGAGAACGGTCTGGCCCACTCCCGTTGGAGCCCGCGTCATCCCGCTCAGTGCAGCCTCATCCCGCCTCATATCCAGCCTCATCCCGGGCTTATTCCAGCCTGATCTGGCTCAGTGGCCCGTGGAACGGCCCTCATGAGATCGTTCAACCGTTCTGACGAAGACTTGCCAGGATCATCGAGAATCGAATAGTCCCTAACCCTGGTAGCACAATGAAGACGTAGCCTAACTTGGGCCCCCGTCTTTGCATGAGGGATGGTCCATCTGGGTGGCCTGGTTCGCTTCATCTGCTGGAAATACCCCTGACCCTGATGCCTTGGCCTCTTGACTTTTGTCCGCGCCCATACAGGCTTACGGTCAACCCGCAGAAAAAGGATGGGCATCTTTCCCAAGGGTACCCTTGCATCCTTGCCTCCTCGGTCCATCCTTGGCCACTTTCGTTGGCCGCGCCCCGCTCAAAACGCTTCGTCATGGGCGTCCAAGGCCCTTGCATCCCTATCGCGCATCCTTATGATCCGGGCCGACTGTAGGGGTCCTTTCATTGCTGCTCACAGGAGGTGCCTCCCAACGGAGGCAACTCCTTCGGAGCCACACCCCGTCGGAGCTGCCCTTCTCTGGCCGGCAGGACAAGGCCGGGGGGGGGGGGGGGGTGCGGCTCGGCCGGCAGGAGAAGGGGGCGGGGAGGAAAGGAGGAGGAGGAGGAGGAGGAGGAGGAGGAGCAGGAGGAGCAGGAGGATGAGGAGAGGAGGAGGAGGAGGAGGAGGAGGAGGAGGAGCAGGAGGAGGAGGAGGAGGAGGGGGAGGAGGGGGAGGAGGGGAGGGGGAGGGGGAGG